ACCATTTGAACTATTGCAATCCATTTGTAAAACTAATTCATCCGGTAACATGCATATTGCTTCTGTTGAAATTATATTGTCACTAAGAATATTTGTATCTGTATTATACTCGATAAGTGTACGCTTTCTATCAGCACAGAGAACATAGAGTGAAGCAAAATTAATAAACTGAGCATCGATGAAAACGTTTGTACCGGGAATTTCCAACTTTCGCAACGCCTATAAAAAATTGATATCGTTTAAAAAATTTAAAGAAACATACTGAGATATCTTATACTGCGAAATAATCTGTATAAAATAGGTTCAATAAATTATTTAATCAATAGACCACTAGTACTAATAAAGCAGTTAAAGACAAGAACTTAGCAAAACTAAGGAAATAAAAAAGACCAAAAAAGTTAGTTGTTAGCAAAGAATTTGTATTCACAGATAATCGATAAGCAAAAGTTCACTCCTATGACATCAGCTGATATGAACAAAAATGGGCAAATAAATGTAGTATATCACAGATTAACAACGGTAACGAATGTCGTGATAAATTTTGATATACCCCAGCATCACGTTGAAAATAGTAAAAAATGAAAAAAAAGTACTGGATTGTAGATGACAGTTTAAGGTTCTTTATTAGGTTTGAAACAAGTTCTAACAAAGAACTTAGAAAAAATAAAGACCTTTTTGCAGATTTCCAGAATAAAAAGTTCATTCCGCGCTGTGAGCAATACAAGCGATGTTTCAGTCATATTAGAGTGTAATCGAACTACCTCACCGGCATTATCTGAAAAAAAATAATATTCGTATGGAAAGCGTATACCACCCTAATCCATCCTATCTTTTCATTGTCTTATAAATTTATTATCGTTTACAAATTAATGAAAAAGTACCTAATGAAAAAGTCCGATTAAAAACTCTATCTCGATTTGTTGTAAAAAATTTACTAGATATGATTAATAAAAAACAGCAAAATCACCTCTTTCGGTGATTACATCCGGATATTCTGATATAGAATCCTCAATTGATAAGTTATATATCCTAAGGCACCCGGATGCAATAAACAAAGATTTTGACGTAAATAGCAATTCTGTTCCACAAATATTTAATCTTTTAAAGACAGAAATAGCGGGTTCTTTTGAAAAATTTACATCCAGTTTGTAAAGTGTTGTCGTACAAATTGTAGAAACTGCTAACAAATTGCCTTCACGATTAAGTGCACTAAAAAAGAAAACAGAAAGTTTATTACTATGATGAGAGAACGAAAAAATATATGCCTATATTGTTATAAATCAAAATTTAGGAAAAAAAGTTTCAATTGAAAACATATAAAAAATATCCGCATATTTATTTTTCTTATACTTATTCCATGTGAAAAGGATAATTGTTAATTCAATGAGCAAAGACGATCCCATTTTTAAAAATGAATTTCATAGAATGTTTGCCCCAAAACTATCAGCAAAATCAATTCACCTTGATCTGATGAACTCTCCATATTGTGACCGCAATTGAGCTAATTTGACTGGACCATTTGTCAAACAATAAATTCCTTTCTTCGGTGCTACTGCACTGGATTGACCAACTTTCCAAATAATAACGCGATTATCGTACTGATACGAAAATAGATTTGCATCCGTCGCGATATTACAAGTTATCTAAAAAAATATTTCATCAAAAAAAAAAAACTTATTTCCGATGAAAGAGGCAATTCATCCCTAACAAATCCGGATCGATTAATATAAGAACAATTCAGCTGATTGCAGTGACTGTTAACAATGCGGACTTATGATAAAAAAATTTATAAACGAATTTTGAAACTAACATTTTTCAAAGCATCAGTATGTTTAAAGCGATTGCTGATGCAAAAGTAGTAATCAGCACCACCAGAATATAGAGCATTCATATGTTTCGATGCAACCAGAGCTCGTATATCATTGCTGTGAATCGTTCGCCGATGTTCAATGCGATATGCAGTACGTTCCTGTAATTGACTTTCAAAGTTGAAATGTGTAAATATAAAGACTTCATTAAAAAAATAAAGGTTTCACCAATGAATAAACTGTAGTTCTCCTTCCATGTACGTTTATCTAATCAATGATTCTGACCAAATAAGCATTTTTTCTTTTGACTCAAAAGTTTAATAATCTGACTTCTTCGAATCTAATTATCTCTCCAATAGGGTGACAAATAAATAAATACCTGATTAAGACCAAGTCGAGCAATTGTAGGATCCACACCAGCAGCATAGAGTGATTCATTTACCGCAGTTATCGATAAAATGTCACTTTGATGTGTTTGCAAACACTGAAGTGTCATTCACTTTCAAAAATAGAATTATCTTAAATTGATCCAAATATCACACTAAAATTCTGAATTTTTCTTTAAAAAAAAGATGCAAAATAAATGATATTACATGTGAAAATGCTCCATTTGATGCATTCCAAAATGTCAGATATCCTCGTGAATCACCTGATGCCAGTAGATTGCCACTGAAATCAGTGTTTAATAGGTCTCTGTTAAAATACACCATAAACTGAAATCGGCTTTGTGCTTTTATTTTTATTTTACTACAGGGATAAATTTCCTCTAACAATCGAAAATATCGAAACAATAATTTAATAACAAACTAACATGGCAAGGAGAGGATTTACTCCATTGAATATTTAAAAGTACTTTGAAAAAATTAAGCAATAGATTTACAAGCTATTCAAGTGACATGCTGAAAGAAAATTATTGCAAAAAATGAAACGGAAATGAAAGTAAGTTACACGAAACATAAGCACCAAACAATAGTTGGTTTCTGTTTTTCAATCCGAGGTAATTTCATTCTATGTTCTATTCGCTGTTTCAGTACACTTATAAGACTGATTTCATCCATTGTTCCAGCAGCGATCATATTGGTATTACACGCCAGTGACATAACATGTGTACCGAAGCCTGACAACAAAAAGCCATCTTTTATCAGCATCCATATTTCTATATGTCCAAATTAATTTAAACAAAATCAAATTCAAAAGCCATAAGAACGACATCAAATTACTAGATCTTCCATTTACTTCATTATTTGTCTTTTCTAATTGAATAAAAATTTATTTAGAAATTGCTAAATTAGTGACATTGACCAAGAAATCGGAACAAATATAATATTATGCTTAAAGTTCGGAATTTTTGAAAATTACCAATAGATACTGTCTTATTCAAAGTAATACGATCATTCTCTTCCAAAGATAGTATCAACACAGCTCCTGAATCGGAACCGGCACAAAAGACGCTTCCTGTTATCGAAGCCAGACACCACAACGGAGTTGGTATAAGTCGAGCCGTCTGTCGCAAATTACACAGTAAGATATAGATTCAAGAATTTAACATATAACAAATACTGGGGAAGAGCGTAATGAAATATCGACTGGATAATGGATAAAATTACATGAAATTATATCAGTCATTGAGTAAATAAATTTATTAGAAAACAGCGCAGTTTTAATTGCAATTATTTGATATTCAGTATTGAATTTGATCTTCTGATTTTTATCATTAATAACCAAAAATCTTATCCGCCAATGAAATTGAGGTTCAAATATTTAAACTTGAAGAGATATCAAGTATTTGGTTTAAAAGTTCATCTTAAAAAACTTTGTGATCGATAGAACTCACAAAGTATTTCGATGTGTGAAAGCGATGACCTGTTATCGAACCATCGAGATGTGCTGCAAGTAAAATATCACCCTTCCAAAGCAGTGATTCGGCGGTTTTATTTCCAAGAAATGTACTTCGGACATAAAACATTGGTGTGCCGATTACATTCCAAAATTCTACCATACCATCACGTTTTTTATCTCTATAAAACTATTTCACTGGAACATGAAAGTAGCAAAAATCGAAAATTATTGAATGCAAGCTATCTAATCATTTAGAACTGTAAAAAATATAAAAAAGCAGATCAATTCATGGACCAATTTTAACTATAACAACAATGCATTCAGCAATAAAAAGCACTTCTTTTCATGGGGATAATTTGCAGGCTTACATAAATTTGATTAAGCAAAAGGTTGAAACTTTAGTAATAATAACTGTTTATTAAAACTGGCATACATAAAAAGAACGGATTACTCAAAAATAAGTAGCATCGCCGAATGAAGTGATGAAAGGAAGGAAATAAAAGATTAGATTGAATATCAAAGCAAGAACAAGTCAAGCAAATTATACAGAATATGATCAAATACAAAATCGCATATTGGAAATATCAGTAGTACCAGGCTAAAGTTAAAAAATTTGGTGAATGAGCAAAAACAAAACTTACCCAAAATCGGAATGTCGAGCAACCGCTAGAATACCCTGTTGTTCATCTAACTCTAAGCAATCAACCGTGTAACGTTCATGCTCAAACAAATCACATTCATGTATTTCGAAACCATCCATTCCATTCACAACACTTTCTTTTTCTCCCTTTGCTATAATGGAACAAATCATTGCAATGATAACAACCTTCATAATATATGATATACGCGTACTTTACGTAAGTGTTGCGATGCACAAGTATCATCAAATCTTCCGAAATTAGTGACCCCACGTGTATGTGTGTATATGTCCGTGTATACGTGCCTGTCTTTACATGTGAACAAAAATTTTAAGAAATTGAATAAGATATGAACTCATACACACCTAGAAGTTTTGATTTCACTAGTTAGAAGTTTTGATTTCACTAGCTTAAAGAAATATTAAATCCATTCGATCAGCGAAAGAAATTCTTCTTTCTCCCTTAAAGTTACTGTAGTAAGCCTCTGTCTACAATAACTTCAAATTCAATGAAAATTTATAAAGATTTTAATTTCTTATAGCATCAACGATTTCCTGTAAAAATATTAATAACTTACTACAGAAAGTAAATGAATGTCAATTGATACAAATTCATATATGCTATTTTGTTAGAAATGTAAAATAATGAGAAAAGTTTATTTCAGGAATTGGTTCACCTATATACAAAACAATAAGATCAAAACTATAAACCGAAACAAATTTGGATTTTGATAAATGGAATTCAAGCATAATATATTTCAAATAAGCTTGTGCTAATTCTCTGGTCGTGTAACCTAACTGTAAAAAAGAATGATAATAAAATGACAGTTATAAAATAATCCAAACCATAACAAATTTCATACAAACAAAAGTTCAATAACTGTCATGAGGCGTAACAATATGTTACTACCCCATTCCTTGTGGCTCAAAAAAACAATAAAACGAAATTTTTCACACATCACAATGAATCATTTCAAAATATATAAAAGTTTTATCGAAAACGAAGTACACATGAATAAATTAACTCCGCAATAAGCAGAAGAAATATCAACAAAAACGTTCGAGCAAGAAGTAGGCAGTAATATACATAAAAGGAAAAAAAAAATGTCATAAAACAACAGCAATCTATCAACGTTAACTTAACAGAGGCAAATATTTAACAAAAAAAAAAAACTTTGATCTTTGAAAAAGTTATTGAACAGATAAGGTTATTTTTTACTACCACAAGTACTCCAGCACAGACACTGGTAAATACCATTATATCGTTTTAGCTTTTTGATTGTTTACTTGCAAAAACTTCATGTTCTATTCTACTACTGAACAAAACCGGAAATGCAGTCATATGATTTATTGTGACTCAGAACAAAAACAACTTAACCGAAAGTGATACTACAGAAAAATATCAAATATCAAAACTATTTAAGAAAATTAAAATGGAAAAAAAAAACTTGGAAGAGAGAAAACGGTAGTACTCTTCAGAAAGAATTTGATGACAGTAAATAATGGTATCACCCATGGAAAGCTATGTGAAAGCTGAAATGAGGCTACGATCGGCGTAAAATGTGGGTTGGAATGGTATTTCGTAACAAACTTAAAATGAGATAAAAGCCAGTATAAAAAGTTGACATAATAATTTAATGCATAAATTTTGGCTGCACAAATCTTCAGAATAAAAATTTACAATTCAAAGATCAGTATCGAACCATAAAGGACTTCGATTATTAGTCTGGTAAGGTGGGGGATGTTGCCATGGCTGGGGATGATCCATCTGTTCCATTTCTGCGGAATGATACATTTCAGCAAAAAGTTCTGGTTCCAGACCATCATGCATCCATTCTTCACCATTGTTTATCACACTTTCAATTTCTGTGTCTAACTCTCCACGATACATTAATGGTTTATCAAATTGAAGATTTTTCAATACGCCAGATGCATATGTTGCTATAAAAAAAGTATTTTGAAGTAGTTATATACCGGTTCCCGTTCGTTTAATTTTATAGAATTAATTAAGAGGAAATAAATTTGTCTTTGCATAACGTACATGCGATAAGATACTTAGATTAGATTCTGTGGAGCATAACCGTAAATAACAGCTACTTGTTCACTAGTTATAACAGATGTCGCGAATTTCGATTCGCGAAACTTCAACCATACAAACAAATCAATAATCAAATGAATTTCTTATTGTAAACAGATTTTCCTAATATCATCACTCATTCAATTAATTCTGCATTCCTTCAAATTGTTTCATATAACATTCTTGTTTTAACCAAATCCACATCTTCATATTTTGGTATGGTACTTCCTTTGTTAGCAATTACTCAAATATTTCCTTTGTTAGCAATTACTCAAAT